AAGGAAGATCTCTCCAAGAACAATCAAGCTAGCATGATTAAACATGTTGCTTGGCTCATCTTCACCAACTGCATCTTTTTTTGCCCTGTTGCATTTTTCTCTTTTGCTCCACTCATCACTGCAATTGCCATCAGCCCTGAAATTATGAAGTCTGTCACTCTGATATTTTTCCCACTGCCCGCTTGTTTGAACCCGGTTTTATATGTGTTCTTCAACCCCAAATTCAAAGAAGACTGGAAGTTACTGAGATGGCACATCACCAAGAGGAATGGGACCGGAACAGTTGCTGTCAATACACAAACTGGCTGTAGGACTCAGGATTTCTACTATGACTGCAGCATGTACACCCATCTGCAGGGTAGCTTAACCATGTGCGAATGTTGTGAGTCACTCCTTATATCCAAGCCTGCACCATGTAAACATTTAGTAAAATCTCACAGTTGTCCTGCTCTGACTGTAGTGCCTTGCCAAAGGCCTGATGGGTGTTGGTCAGATTGTGGTACACAGTCTGCTCATTCTGATTACGCTGATGAAGAGGACTCATTTGTATCGGATAGTTCAGATCAGGTGCAGGCCTGTGGACGTGCTTGCTTTTATCAGAGCAGAGGCTTTCCGTTAGTTCGTTATGCCTACAACACCCCGAGGATTAAAGACTGAAAGGCTTTATTGCAAGCAATCCATATACTAAAAAGGAGGAAGCATGATGCTTCATATAGACCATACCTGTTTCATTCTTTCATCTGAAAGCACTTTTATTAATCATTGTATGATATTAATTATAAATAAGGGATGTATGCCTAAGTACTATATAGTTTAAATAAGAGCTGTTGCTCCTGTAAATAATTAGAAAACCAAAATGTGTAATCCATCTTTAAAAACTTTTTCCCAAGCAACTATATATTTGAAGCTTATTGCCATGTTATCCAATTTTAATTTCATTTTTTGTTGTGATATTGATCCTGATAACTTTTATAAATAAGCACAAACAACAGAATATTATAGGTGTTGTTGTTTTTTTAGCTGCACAGGGGGGCTGTTGCTAACTTTTGTATAGCATTTTTGACTGAATCTCAGGACAATTTACTGCAGGGCCAAAAGATGGGAATATTTTTCCCATATGCAACTGTGAGATAAATACAGGCAAAACATTTTTTCTTCGGTCAAATTATGGATTAATTTTTCTATAGTTAAAACTATTTATTTCAGCCAAATACTTATCACCCCTATAATATATTCTGAGTAGTTTGTCATAGTAATTTTTATTTTGAGAGTACTGCTTGAAAACCATTTGAAACTGATCTTTAGCATACTTAAATGACATCAAACTCAGGTTTGCTGCACTAATATTTAACCTCTGAATGAAAATATATACTATTAGAACATTCCTACAGTCTAGATTCACTTTGGAGTTCTGCCATAATAGTTGTTTCCTGCCTCTAAAATGGATATGTTCATATCTACATACATTGGAAAATGGACATATGGTGAGTATTCTAATGCCAGTTCAAACAATTTTCACAAAGGCAACAGAATACTTCGTCATCCTATAATCTTAAATGTGCATGTTGGGTTATATATGTTATTTTGACAGCAAAAAAATTAACTCTACTTTGTGTAGATGAAAATCTTTTTAAAGTGTCATTTTCAGTGAAGCTACAGCACATACTGCAACCTGGTGCTCTCCAGATGTAGATTAATTATAGGGAATCCTATACATCTGGAAGGTACACCGCAAAGTCTGAGGTAGAATATATTAACAGAATAGGTTTTATTAAGAGTAAAAGCCGTGGTGGCACAGTGGTTAGAATGCAGTACTGCAGGCAATTTCTACTGGCCTGCCTGCAATTTGGCAGTTTGAATCTCACTAGGCTCAAGGTTGACTCAGTCTTCTATCTTTCCGAGATCGGTAAAATGAGGACCCAGATTGTTGGGGGCAATATGCTGACTCTGTAAAACTGTTTAGAGAGGACTGTTGCTAAAAGAGGCTCAGATGTTCCTAATGTAGAGACAGAACAATGTTAAGTACCTATACTTGGGATTTTCTATTTTATTGTTATGTTACAGTAATGTGAAACCAGGCTGACTTTTCTTAAAAGGGCAATCAAGGAGATATACAGATCATTGCATTTTAGAATTAACCTTTTTCTCTAGTTATCAATACATATAAGCTACATCTTTTTTGAACAAAACGTTAAATGAGAGCAATTCAACTGCCAAATCAGAAATTCTGGCACATATTTTTATTAAATAACATTAGAATTGCAGTTAGAAAAATTAAACTGTACAAAGTGTGCATAAAAAGAATTTTTCTTGGTTTGTAAATTATTTGATAGAACACTTGATGGGAAATGTGGCTTCAGTACCTTTTGTTAATTAAAGCTACCTCCTGAAATATAGAAGCTGCCAGTAGCAGAATGTTTAAATTGTGGTTTATATATTTTTCCATTGTAAATAAATTTCAGTTGTATATTGTTACTATAATAAAAGCCAGAAGCTTTGTGTACCAAAATTACTTAACTTGTAAAAAAATAAGCTATTATCATTCTTGTATACTATAATTTTGTAAGCCTAAATTGTTCCTAGTAAAATCATAGAAAACTGAAAACAAGAAAGTATTCTGATATGTTCTGTTATACTTAAGTCTCTTAGATATTTAACCTAATGTTACAGGCCAGTGCCATGTAACTTTACATATAGTATTACATGCAACGTTGTAGTCATGAACATTCACCAGGTCACTGTCATCAGATCAACACTTTTATTCTTCTTGCACATTCATAGATTTATTGCCCTGTTGGGTTCCCCAAACAGAACTCCTACCACAGTTGTTTATAATCCTGCTGTTAACACAATAAGATATACGTTATTAATTGTAACATTACTTCCATGATAAGATTAAATCCAAAATAATCCATCGGGAATAGTGACCTATATATGTTATTTCATGAGACAGGGCCAAAAAAGTCTAAACTGTCTTACACTGATTTATGACTCATTTCTTTGTACAGTACTGTTCCAGTATTTGTTGAATTTCAGGGTGAAGCAGAAATTTCTGAGGCATGATTGCTTTCTTTGCACAGAGACTGGATGTACAGTATATGGCTGAATATAACAAAGTTTTAAGAGTTAGCTTTTAGCCATGGAGGAAGATTTCTCCTTCCTGATCTGATACACTCCCTCCTTGAAATGTTTGGTCGATTTTGACATCCTTGAAATGATTAGTGAAATCCTGAATCAAGCTAGAAATATAAATAATTCTCGAGGAATTAAGAATCTCTCAAGACTCAAAATATCTCAGTATCTCCAAGTCCCAACATATCAAAATATTTCAGTTCCAAAAATAAAATACTGAAAATGCATTTTTATTGCTTTTTAAAACGTTTTAAATTCTAAGTCCATTTCTTCAAAATGAAACCAGTTAACAAGCTCCAAACCATAACGTGGCAATTTTGGTATTTGGACTGTTGCCCTGAGGTTCTTGAACTACCAGATCCACCTAACTGGGTGTGCCCACATCTGGGGCATGATATGTCAACACTCAGTTGGTATTGCTATCTTTCTGCCTTCCCAATCAATGCAGCAGTTGGCAAGAAAGTCTAGAAAAGTATGAACAGCACTCTGGACTCAAGGGCAGAGGGGTCACCCAGTAAGCCATGAATCAAAGTGTGGTGCAATCCGGGGTATGAATTGAGAGCGTGGCTGTCTTGATAGTGAGGAACCTATGGAATAAGATCATTGCATAAGCAGGGATAACATCTGCTTGAAACAGGATTCTCTAACAAGGTAGCTGTTCTGATCGTATTTAAGAAACAGTAAAACTGCATCCATAATGATGGAGACGGGCTACTGTATCCAATATATACATATATTGCAAAAAGATTCAAACAATCACTAGAAGACAGTGCCATCCACTCATCTGGATTTTTGAAACTCATCTGTGGGAGCTTTTAATTTTCTAAGGTTTGTGGGGGGGGGGAAGTGATGGAAATACAATAGTAGCTGCCACTTAAATCAGAATAGAGCTAGAGGGGACCTTGGAGGTCTTCTAGTCCAATCACCTGCTCAAGCAGGAGACCCTATGCCATTTCAGACAAGTGACCAAGTCTCTTCTTGAGCACCTACAACTTCTGAAGACAAGCTGTTTCACTGGTTAATTGTCCTCAGAGTTAGGAAGTTTCTCAATTCCAGGTTGCTTCGCTCTTTGATTAATTTCCACCCATTTTCCTTGTCCTGCCCTCTGGTATTTTGGAAAATAAGTTGACCCCTCCTCTTGTGGCCGCCTCTCAACTACTGGAATATTGCTATCATAACCTCCCCCCCCCAGCCCTCTTCTCTAGCCAAACCCAAATCCTGCAACCATTCATGTTTTAGTTTCCAAGCCTTTAATCATCTTAAGTTGCTCTTCTTTGCACTTTTCCCCCAAAGTCTCAACATATGTTTTTGGAATTTGCTCCATGCTAGCAGGAAAATTATAGCAGAACGTAAAAAACAACAACCAAACAATTCACAACCTGAAGGGGTTCAGAACGGATTTATTTGCCTGAAAAGCTTTCTAATTCACATTTGAGCAGAGATTGGGGGAAGAGAGAGAGAGACATGCAAGCAGCACTCGAACCCCATTGTTTCCTCATTCCAAGCCTCAGCCTCAGAGGGAACTTAAGCCCTTTGGCTAAGCTTGGACATGCCGCGCAAAAACACTCCCGCCAGCTTGATGCCCAGTGGTGAAATGAAATTTCGCCTGCAATAGTGACGGAGGCGATGCATTGTTGAAGTAACTCAGCCAGAGATAACTAGACGGCGAGAGAAAGAGCCGGGAGGATTATAACAGACCCACACATGCAGCTGTGGGCTCTGGGCATTTATTAAACCGCTGTAAGTCACCCAGGCAAGGAAAAGGTTAAAAATGAAGGCTGGCTCTCGGGAAAAGTAGGGAAAGAGGAGGAGCCTAATCCCACGCACCGCCAAAGCGGAGCGGGGACCGAGACGTTCTAAGGCGGGCTTCCTGAGAGATGGCAGAGAGGCGTCTCTGTTGCCATGACATCCATTGCGCATAGTGATTGGTGGAGTCGGCTCTGCCGCAGGGGCGAGTGGGAAGCGAATGAACGCTGCGGGTTTAGAAGAGGCAGCCTCAGGTAGCGAGGTGGTGTTGTGTCCTTGAGGACCGTTGAAGGGGGAGGCGGGAGGGAGGCGCGAAGGCGGGGTGTGTGTGGATGGGTGAAGGGAGAGCCCCACAGATGGAGGCGAGAGGGGTTGAGGGGGTATCCCCGAATAGTCGGGTGGGGAGAGTCGAGCGTCATTGGAGGCGGAGAAGCGGGAAAAAGGGGGGTCCGGGAAAACTTGGCACTCCATTTGCTCCTTTCTTCACAGGTACTAATCACCATCATGCCTACTTCCGAGCCCCCCAAAAGCAGGCGGGAGGCAGTCTATTCCTCCCCTGCTAGTTCTGACGACGAGGGGGCCGGCAAGTCTTCCACTTTCTCCCTGATCTCTGACAGTTTCCATCCAGAGTTATCAGATTTCCATCATGGGGGAGAGGGAGAAACAACAACAACTAGCAGGGGATCGAGCATCCCTCAGAAGATGAAACACCACCATAGGTAATGCGACATTCGCACAGTGCAACTTACTATTTTTATTGGGTGGTTATTATGATGATGATGATGCAAATGGGGGCCCAGATAATTCAGAAGGCACACTGGAAAGCTATATTTAATATTGGTGGGAAGTGTTTTGTTTATCCAAACTCCTCTGCCCTGAGGTGTCACAAACTGAAACAAGGAATTATATCACTACTGGACAGAGCCTAGATTTGTTTTGCAAAGTGGTAAAAAATATCCCCCTTTGTTCTATTGTGCAGTGTTGCTGTTTATTGTTGCCCCAATAAAGTGTCATCAAAGTTGTCCCATAGCATTGGAAGTGGCATCTATTATACAAGAAAAGCAGTGGTGGGATTCAATTTTTTTTCCTACCGGTTCTGTGGGCGTGGCTTGGTGAGCGTGACAGGCAAGGGATACTGTAAAATCTCCATTCTCTTCCCACCCCACTAACCTGCTTTCCAGGTCCATTCTCCTGTGCAAGACAACAAAAGAAGACCCAGCCAATCAGCTGGGACTTGGGAGGCAGAGAATAGATGGGGGTGGGGCCAGTCAGAGGTGGTATTTGCCGGTTCTCCAAACTACTCAAAATTTCCACTACCGGTTCTCCAGAACTGATCAGAACCTGCTGAATACCACCTCTGAAGAAAATGCATCATGGTATTTTAGCTTGGTTAATGGCATGTTTGCCCCCAAAATTAATCTTCATTATTTTACACAGTGATTCTAGACTAATTGATAAGAGAAAATGGCTTCTGCTTTATGTACTGCATAAAGCCGTTTTAGACTGAAGTAGCTTATACATCTTACAGGTATATAAACTTAGAAATCCAATTTCTTCCCTAGAAATTTATTTCTATTTTGTGTTTCATCGGAGATTGATTGGATATTCCTTTCCCATAGACAAAGATGTATGTATGTCAAGTTAGAAAGTTACAATGGTCATATCAATAAATAACTGAAAACAAGCTTAGTGATTACTAAATTTTTAAGAAATAAGCTAAATATTCAAGTACTTTACATCCAATAAGAGGCACAACCATCAGATTTTTGTAAATTGTTCTGGAGGGTTGAATTTCCTCCAAATTAGATGGAGACACATAAATTGGGATTGAACAAAATTAGAGAACATTGCATGAATGGCTTATATAATATAGAAAATAATTTTATAAAGTTAATTTTGCCTATTTTAATTACTTTTCAAATGTCCATGTTTGGGGCTCTTAGTAAATCAAATGAGCCTGGATTAAATAAGCACTATTATAAAGACATTGCCTTGATTAAACATTTAGTGTTAAAGGTAAGGAAAATAAAGCTGTTAAAGTAATCAGAGGTAAACTGCAAAAATGGTAGTCCTGACTAGACCAATGTATCTCTGAAAGAGACCAGGTTTGGAAGGCTAAAGAAATGATGCCTACAAATATTATTTGGCAAGACATCTTTACCATGACAGGAAGGAGCTTGATACATATTCCTAGTTCTTGTATCAAGTGTATTAAAAAGTAATTGAAAAAGGAATGTTCTTGGATTACAATATATTTTAAATATTTATCATTTTTTATTTATGTTTAATGTGTTTGAGGAAGTTATTCATTAACATAGGAGCATTTCTCAACAAAAAAAAAAATCTGACAGAAACTTCACTCACCTTCCCCTTGCACCTTTACATTGATAACCATTATTATACATTATTGTAATGTTTTAGGGAAACAAATATTGTTATTCTATCACAAGGCCTTGTCATTTGAGTTAATTCCAAAAGCCATGTATAATTAACTTAATGCATAGTTAAAAATCAAAAATCAAAAACATACATTTGAATACTGTGGTTGTTTCAGAAAAAAACAGGGTACTATGATAACAATTGCATACTGATATGCTAGCAAACAATGTGATATGATAGGACTGTATACTACCGTATCATAAAGACCTTAATGAGTCATAGATGAAATATCCTGATTATCATTTTCATGATATACATTTTTAATTAAAATTGAATTTAGAGACAATCATTTTCACATATATTGAAAATACGTATTTAGATCAAATCATGAATTTATATCACTTTTTCCCTCCACCCCATGTAATTATGAAAAATCTGCAATTCTGAAATCGTGGGTTTGGGCTTTTGATATTCTTTGGGATTCAGTAAAATAAATAAATAAATATATCTGAGTACAATATTCTATGTATTGTTTACACTCTGAATAAATGTTTACATTATACTAATGCAATACATAAAAGCCATAACTTCTACGACCAGTATATATTTAAAAAAAGTTTATTGGAGGAAAACTTTCATTTTAATTGAATTTATTAAGTATTGTTACATGTTTCTATACACAGAAGAGACAGACATTGTACTATATGAATGGAACTCTGAGCAACATTGGATGAAATCTTCTAAGGTTATAATGATTTCCATTAGACTACAATTTTTCTCTCTTTGCTGTGACCACATTCTATTTTCCTACAGAAGCAGATTTGGAGAATTGCATGGAGACTTTTAAAGGGAGAGAAGGGAGAGAAGACTATACTATAGTATAGTAGCAAACAGAGTTTTGGGGGTAAAATCCCATAATTATAGTAATCTAAAGAACAATTCATAATATTACTTGTTTCTCATTTTATTTGAAAACAAAGATTTGTTTTAAAATTGTATTCATTAAACACTATTGCATCTGATCTCTTATTTGTCAATTCACAGTCTGGAACAAATTAAGGATACAAATAAACTTTCACCTGTTCACAATAGTCTTTCACCATGGGAAGAATGGTTCCTTTGCAAAGAGAGAGAACTACGTGCTCGTTTACAAATGAAAGCTTTGGAGGTGAAAACATAGCTTATTATCTTTATAGTTAACAACAGATTGTGAGACATCAAAAGGCATACTTTCCCGATTATTTTTTAAAATACAGATTGTTTTTTGTATTTTTATCATATTTGTCCTGCTTTTTATTTGCTGATTATGTCCTGATTCATTACTAGTAGTGAATATTTTTACTCTGTTTTTATTTATGTTATGCTGATAGAAGCTATTACTTGAATTTTACTTAATCAACTCCCTCCTAAATGTTTAAATTTAAATTTAAAATGTAATGCTTTAAAAAAAGTTTCGTACATATGTATTGAAGCTTTAACACATTAAAAAGGTGTGCTGTTCATGGGTAAGTGAAATTTTATGATCCAGGGTAAGAGATGGTTGGCTATAAAAGTATATTATGGTTGACATGTGTTGTGATAAACTGTAGTATGTAACATGACTGTTAGAGAAATATGTTGAGCTTTTGTCCATTTCAAAATTAAATTTATTTCTAAAAAGTATCATATTAGTACCCTTTTTACTCATGAACTTATCTAATGTTCTGGTAATATTCAGAATAGTCTCACTTCATTTTGTGAGATGATGCAGTCTTAATATTGTTTGCACTACCTGCATATATGAAAAATTCTGTCGTTTCAATTCTATCTATGCTGATGGACATTTTCGACTATAATTAAGAGTAATTTTTGAATGACTGGTAAAAGACTTTATTGTCCCAACTATTTTATCTAATTAATGTAAACCTTCCTGCAGTTTACCAGGTATGGATCCTAGCTACTGAAGAAACAAACAGGGCTTTTGGCAAAGAAGAAAATTTGTTGCTTTAGATTTTCAATTTATTGTAAAAAAAATTCTGAGCAATCTTTAGGAAGTCAGTTTGGCCTAGACTAAAGAAATAATTTTCTCTAAGTCCAAACCATTGTTAAGTAAAGAAATGAGGGTACGAAGTGGTTCTTCAATTTTGTTAAACATACTATATTAATTAAGCAATAGTTGCTGGGATGAAACGTGGTAAGCCACAAATCATCTTTTAATAGTACAATCATCCAAATTTTCATGTTTGTATCATTACTATAAAAAACATAGAAACCTCTCCCAGTTTCTTCACTGAGAAATGTCTGTAGTATCCCTTGCCTGCAAGCCATGCCCTCTGCATATCACAAAGGGAGTTTTTGTAAATTTTGTAAGTTTCCTATTGAACAATGCTTCTGTCCTGGTGCTGGTGGGGCTGATCAAGTGGAAGATGTTATCAATTATATCCTCCACTGCTTTGTTTACAATGGGATTAGGCCCAAATTATTAATGACGGATAAACTCAGGGCCTCTAACCTTGCAAAATTAAACTGTTTCCAACAGTCAGGAAACAAAGTTGTTGTCATTTGCACTTAGGAATACTTAAGATCTTTGTTGTAGCTTTGACTTTATTGTAACCTTTTTACTTCTAATACTTCTATTACGCTGTTTTATAATTTCATTATGGTTAGTTTATTGTATTTTATGGCATCTTCATATGTTGTGAACTATGGTTACAAGAATAAACATATTTATATTACATAAATCCTGTTTACAAATCTTAAGAGCTGGGTTTACACAATATGCTAATAAAAAAAACCAATTACATTATGGCTTAGAACATTATGTAGCCCGATCAGTGTCAGTGAGAGCTTCATTAATCATAATGTTTGATTGTAGCCAATAATTGCACAGAGATGTTGATATCACTAAATAGATTATTCCATTTCATTAATTGATATATGTTGGATATTATTCATGGATGCCTAATTCACATATTCTGAGCAAAAACATGAGAAAAGCAGAAAGATTAGGTTAATAGAACAGACCTGCACAGTCTTGCTTTCCTCCACACAGGGAACTTGAGCGAGAGCATTCAAGGCCCTTACATTTGATCAAAAATCAGTACAATATCCACAATGTTCACAAATGTAATGGCAATAATGGTCAGACATTTGAGTCCCTTGTGGGATCCTTACCTATGTTACTGTGATAATCTGTTCATTAACTTTTTTTGAGTGAAGGAGCAATCTGGAGTTTAAGTTCATTGCCTGCACAAACTGGGGTTTCTAATTCTTGGAGGAAAATTCATCTTCCTCAACAAGGGGCATTAATGAATAATTTCCCTCAGTCAGTCAGAAGTAAAATTAAGATGTTTGGCACATTCAAGAAATGTACAAGCACATAGTATTTTGCAGCTTAAGTCAGTGGGATGGATGAAAAGGAAAGTCAGGGCAATTCCGCAGTTTGCCAAAGTCATGCCCTGCCTCTGACAAGAAAATAGGGTTAATCCTTTTCTGCTGAATATAATTGGGGGTGACTTGAGAATGGCACCTTACAATTAGTGTTCTGAAGAGAAGAAGAATTTGGACATATGCCTCAAAACATGAATTTCAGCCTGTGGATCTTATCTAGACTTGCTTCAATGTTTATTGTTTTCATCAAGACAAATTATAGGTTTTGGAAGGACAAGGCATCCAAGATATTCATTAACTCACCTAACCCCTCATACAACTGCATACTCATTCATTAGAGAAAACTTCATGATAAGTTAAACATACATATCATAATGAAACATCTTGTAGCAAAAAGATTTCTGGAAGTTATTACTTTCATTACTTTAAAATAAAACAAATTTGACGTGTACTTTGCAGTGAGAACTGTATTTGGATTCAAAGTTGCTGTGGTTTATGCAAAGTAATCAAGAAACAAAGAGTAATTTTCATCTCTTTCAATAGGAAATGAATCAGCAAATGGAGGAAACAAAGGAAAAACAAGAACGAGAAAGAAAAAAATTAATTGCTGAAGAGAAACACAAAGAATGGGTCCAAAAAAAAAATGAAGAGGTGAAAAGGGTGAAGAACTGCTTTTCTCTTTCAGCTATATATTGTATTTGTGACATGGCATTTAGTATCTTTTTTAATGTGAACCAAAATAATATTGTAGTTCCTAAACTTTTAAAATCCACTGCAGATTTTTAGTTAGATTTTATTTTGTTGATTCAGTAAGAATTAATGTACTTCCTTCACCATAGCATGAAAATATGACCTTTCTTATTTTGTTAATAACAGTGATTAAGATCAATTAATTAATAGCAGACAAACATATGCATATTTTCAGAATTAGGTTCCATGTGGTATACTGAGGAATTCTTTTTTTGCATAGCAGTTTGTTTAGTTTCAGTGCCACTGATGAAGTAAATTCCTCATAGTTAAATAGAAATTCCTGTGAGTTTTTTATAAATTCTTGTAAAAATACCTGCTTTCTGATGATTAAACACAAATTATATAATTCATAACCAAATAATAATAATTTGGCTTATACTTACATTGTTTATGATGATTTATATATACTTTGAAGTAGTTCGGAATACTCTTTGCTATATAGCAAGCAGTGTTTCCTCATTCTTGGCAATTTTCAGACAAGTGGAATTTCAAATTATAGAATTTCCCAGCCACCTTAGAATAGAATGGAATGGAATGGAATGGAATGGAAGAACAGAGTTGGAAGGGACTTTGGAGGTCTTCTAGTCCAGGAAACCCTACACCACTTCAGATAAATTGTTATCCAACATCTTTTTTAAAACTTCCAGTGTTGTAGCATTCACAACTTCTAAAGGCAAATTGTTCCATTGATTAATTGTTCTAACTGTCAATTGGCTATTGCTATTTCTACTGTATCAACTTGGCTATTGCTAAGAATTTTGGAATATGTAGGGAAATTTGGGAAATATGCACTAGATACTGGATATCAGATAGAATTAAAAACAGGCCAACTTTCTTCTAGTTGTCTGGAACATACTTTTATTTAAACTATATAATAGAATTAATTATTTTGATAATCCATGATGTGAAATTATCAACACTTAGAAAATATAATAGGAGTAACAGGTTTTTATTATCTGTGATGCCTATTTTAGTGTTTGGATGCCAATTTTAATGTTTAATTCAATTTTGTTGATTTAGAAGCAATCTCATCTGCCATCATCAGGCTTCTGTATTACGTTCGTCTGTGAGTCAGACTTTCACAGCCGTTTCTGTTTTAAATTTGGTGCTAGCCTGCTGCTGTGCCAGAATGGTTTTTTCTTCATCCTGACTGGTTGGGAGTCTTGGTCTGTATTTATTGGTCTTGGAGTTTGCTATGTGATGATGGCAGATGAGATTCTGCCAAAACGTTGCTACAACTTTAAAAAGCACAACTATAATGACATGGGAAAATACCCGAACAAAGCTGAATACCATACATATAGATACCCACGAAAACTTAAGAAAACATCTATCTATCTATCTATCTATCTATCTATCTATCTATCTATCTAATGTAACAGAAAAAATAAAATTGCAACAAAAAAAAGTTGAAAAAAGATATGGCTTTCATTTGGTGAGAATGGTGCCTATTTTAGATCACAAGGACATCTTGCTTTGACATTAAGTTGTGTTCAATGTACAAAAACAAACGATCTACTATCAATCTTATTCCTATTTAATGTGTATTATAAGTCATTGAGGGATAAACACATCAACATTTTGTGCATCCTGAAGAATAACATTAAATCATTCAAAATATTCTGGATTTTTCAGGAAAAAAATTACACTGATTTTTCTCCAAATTTCATATTTTATAATTAAATTTTAAGTCTTTTGGCTTAGGAACATATGTAACAAATGGAATTCATAGCAGAACAATTCTGGCTCAGATTTAGAAAGATGAGTTCTTTAGAATAATTGATGGAAAAATGAATGTCCTTCATTCAGCCTAGCTGTATCAGTTGCTTTGTAATTATACAAAAGTTATATTAATTACAATAATCCTCTATCAATTTCTAAACCATGCTTATACAAAAAGAGAATATTATATGTATAAAAATCAGTAAGCCTCGTAGAATAAAATTAATATATGAAATAATTTGTCAAAACTGGAGGTGCTATAGCATGCAGGCGCTTTTTATGAAATAACATACTTTAAGCATCATATTGTCAATAATTAGCTAAAGACACCAGTTGCTGCCTAACATCTTACATAGTTTCCCATAGGCATGAAATATTTTGTTGAATTATATTTTAAATATGTAAAAATGAGACACAGATGAAAAAATGCTGTTTCATCTGTGTTAATTCATGATTATTCCAGTTCCTTATTCATTAGTATTAGTATTAGTTTTAACATCTAATTATTTTAACACTTTATAAATAACTATTATAATCTCATATCATTAAGAACATACATTACTTTAACTATCATGTTCAATCACATTCTATGCTATTTAGAACTACCAACTTAATTAGGTTTCAGCAAAAGACTAATATTACAACTTCTCAAATAGTACATAAAAAATAAATTACCTGTTAACTATGCTTTCCATGTTCTACCCAGGTTCTCCAACAAGAACACTGCCCCTTCTATTCTCAAATTTTACCATATAATAACTTAGCATGTTTATAGGATCAAACTTTACTTTCTATTTTATCTGATGATAATTCATCGTAACCTTTGAGTACTGGCCATAAAAATTGTCCACATAATTTAGGAACCCCAAAGACATATTGAGATTAAGTCCTACATATATTATACCCAGAAAGATTCCAAAACCATCAATTACAGATATTTAAAATGCCAGCCCTTTTCCAGGTCATGCTATTCCTGGGTCAGCATAGCAATTTATTGTCCAAAGCTGATGCAGTTTGAAGCACTTCAGACATGACTTTCCAGACAGAACAGACTTGTTTAATGTCTCAATCACTCTTGGGACATCTCCATTTATTTCTGGCTCACAGAATCCTGTGAGCCAGAATCTTCTAGAAGCTGCCAAATCATCCAAGAATGACATGGTCCAAAGGAGATTTAGCAACTAGGCTAAAATTCTAACTGCAAATTTAACAAAAACAAAAAGAAATGTTATATAACTAGTAAATTGTTTTGTAATATAAGTACATGATACTTTAAATTCTTTATTTTAGGAAAATTAATAAAATAATTCTGTTCACTGTTATATTGTAATTTTTTGTTTGCCACTTGTGTCGTGCTATTTTTTTTCCTGTGCAGGCACTATAGACAAGTGGAAAAATCAGTTTTGTTGACTGAAGTTTCAGGCTGCTTTTGCTAAATACAAAGCATAAACTATACTAGTTTTGGCATGTTCAGATGTGCAGAGTTGATATTTGGTACGTGCTGCTGCTGCTTGGTGTTTTGCTTTAGAGAGAGTTAACCTCCAATGGTACATAAGTTGTTTTCGGCTGATGCCAGCAGACCAGGTTTATAATCTAAAATATATATATATGTACATTTTAATAAGGAACAAGTCTTGCAGGAGCCTATGGCTGATACTACTGTTGTTATCTTCTGGGCTTTATTGGTATCAATCCAGCAGCAATTGCTTTGCTTAGCATAATAATGTGTTGCAAATATCATGTCTTAATATTTCAAGTGGAAATTTATGTTTTCCTTTTTTAAAAAAAGTCATCAGGCAATTATGCTGCAGTTTGGTAAAAAAGACACAGGATTTATTTTGAGTTTGCCATTATTCGTTATAATAGAGTCTTTAAAATGGCTTGAGTGCTTGTTCCCATTGTAACACTTGAGACATTCTCAATTTTGTCTATCAAAATGAATAAAATGTAAAATGTTCTGGCTATCCAAGTGAACTACTTGATTCCAATTCAAAAGAAGATTTGTCTTCCATTCTTTTCATTTTCCTAATTATAACCAACTGTATCAAGTCTGTTGGAGTATGGCAACTGTGAAATATGGCAATGGCAATATTTTGGTATGGATATTTTGCAACTTTGAGATCTGGATATCCTACAGTCAGTGACGGAGTATTAATGAGCTGAAATAGTTCTATAAAGAGGAATGGAGCAGAACTCTTTTAAGCTCAATATGCAGAATTAATTAACCCATAAAATAAACATTTAAGTTGCTGCTGATGCAGGTGCCCCCTTACTATATATAAATCTTCATATCTTTTTCCAACAAGGACAGTGAGTGTTGGCTCAATAGGTTCAATAAAACTCACTACATTTTTTTGAATCTCTTTATCTACTGATAAGAACTTAGATACACACTACAGCATAGATCATAGTATTACAGAGTTATAAATTGCTTTTACAGATAATTCTAGAAATATTTGGCATTTCCCTTAATATTGTCTAGTGGTTAAGGATTAGACTAGAAATCATGCTGTTGTGAGTTATAGCCCTGCCCTTAGGCATGAAATACTAGCTGGGTGACTTTGGGCAAGTCATTCACTCTCAGCCCAATCCATCTCACAGGATTGTAGTTGTGAAGAAAATAGGAGAAGGAAGATATGTTAGATATGTTCACTGCCTTGAGTTGTTTATAAAAATAATAAAGGTGGTATACAAACCTATTTATTTATTTGGGAAAATTTTATGGCCACCTACTCACTCACAGTGACTTTAGGTGGTTCACAAGAAGTGAAATCACAATATAGAAAATAAAAAAACAATAATCCCCTCCCAGCAACAACAATACATGGAAAAAATTAAGAATAGTTCTTAATGTCAGCCATTCTGAAATAAGTTTGAACAGTGGCATGAATTTGGTTAGGGACTGACCCACTCTTTTCTGTTTCAGACTAACTTTGGTCTTACCTTGGCTAATTTGAGCATGACATAAGCCAAACAATCACAATTGTCTTGTAAATGAAACACAATTATAATATTAATATTTATGGGCAGACTCTTATTAAGAAAAACATGAGAAAAAAATAATAGCATAAAATGACAAAACATTATATAAATCCACTGAGTCTGAAGATGGTCAATGGGCCTTTAAAATGGAGATGGTCACATGCATTTTTTTTTTGTAATTGTTCATTGATGATCCACTATGACTAATCTTATCCAGATGTTACCTAGTCAGCCTACAAATATGAAAATAGTCTTTTTTACATGCTCAATTAAAAGAAACTTATAAGTTGTACATTACCAGTGTACCTGATACAGTTTTAATAGCAGCACATACATAACCAAAGTTTCTTGGTTAAACTGGTAAATAATTGTCATAAAGCCAGTAAGTAGCAGGGTGGGTAAAAATCAATGATTTTTTTTTTAAATCAGATTTTTAACATTTAAATTAGATTTTTTAAATTCAGATTTTTAAATTTTTTTTATTAAATGTATTTTAATAAAATGCTTTTGGAGTAAAAATCTATCTAAAGATAGTTTTCTATTTAAGATACATTGATAATTTAATTTATTCAGCATGAAATGGTGCTTAGTTATGTAGCATGAGGCTGTATATTCTGCAATATTTACATTTTTGGTAAACTCATTCAACGAATCCAAGCTCTGCAAGCTGAGATGACATGCACTGGATTGATGCATTCACACAATTTTACAGTAACGATGAGATAAATCATAAAATAAAGTTCAGGAATATTCCCTTATCCCCTTGTTTTACGAATCTATGTATACTACAAACTGTATGATTGTTTGGAGAGAAATGCATCTATATTACCAGACCTTAAGTGTGAAGAGGAAGGAGAAGCAGTAAAAATGAAAGTGAAACCTTCTAAGCAGTTTATGAATATAATATTAAAGAACACCTGTCATTTCAGATCCATCGTGGTAGCACCTGTAAGTGGGCAACCACTTACCTGCTGCCTGCCACATCCCTCACCTTGTTGTGTCACTGCCTCATCATCAGCTACCCCATTAAAGTGAATGGGACTGTCGGTGAGTCAACAGTGGATCAAAGGAGCTGCTGTGGGACAGAGGTGACAGTTGCTCTTTTAAAATTATGGTTTAAATTGAGTTGATTTAAATCCAGCCTTTTTACTAGTGATTTAAATCAATTTGATTTAAATCAAATCCACCCTGGTAAGTAGCAAAATCAAAAAGTGCTATAATAAGATTGCTTTGACAGGTTCAATTTGCAAAAGAAGAGTATAGTATCTTTATAGATAGCCATGGTATATAAGCCAGGTAATAAATCTGCATTGGGACTCATACCTTTCAGGTGCAGGTATTATTGAATAACCAGGGTATCAAGAACTTAGATTTTGTGAGTAGTAATATTTCTACCTATATTTTCTAAAATAATGCTGTCTGCAGGAAAGAAAAGAAAGACAGCGTAAGCTCAAAAGAGAAATGAGAGAAAAGGAAATAAAACAGTTTGAGGAAATACAGTCAAAGGAAAAAGCAAAAGAAATGTATAAGGAATGGCTGAAGAAAAAGAACATGGAAGATCTTCAAAAAAAGAAAGACGAGAAAGTACGTTTAACTTAGCTTTTTATTTGTAGAAAACCAATAACTGATCTTTCTTTTTTGGTGTTAGTTACTAACATTTTTAAAAGAATGTGTTTCTTCCTTTTTCTTCTGGTTAAAGACAATTGGATCTTGTTTGTTAAAGACTGAAGCACAAAAAATCCACAATTGTGTGGTATAGGGAAAGATGTTTTCAGTGATGAAGTAACACTTGTAGAATATTTTTCCACAACAACTCAGTTTGCATATTTGACAGTTTTTTTCAGCACAGGGGTTTCTTTTTACACACATGTTAATCTAAGGATTTTCTAATCTGCCTTCTCTTTGAGACATTTATATATTTTGGTGCTATATTCATTTATTGTTGAATTTTAAATTATTGTTGTATATATTGTCCTGAAATATCTGTTACAATGTGATTAATACAGTAACTACTGTGAACAATATGATTAACCAGTTAAGAGTAGATGAAATAATTTTACATACATACATGTACACACATTCATTATACTCTTCCTTCTTAGAGAAAAAGGAAGACCAAAAAGGTTATAGTTTGGTGGAATTGGTGAATTTCTCAGAAAGAGATGAGCAGTTTAAAGAACATAAAGTAGTATATGGTCATGGAAGAAAGTCGTATATGGTCATGGTTTGCAAAGTTTAATATATTCATCAACTCCATTCCTGAAGATCAGACTACCTTTTAGATCTAATGTGTCTTTCCCTATTCTGTTATTTTTACGAATACATCATATTTTTAAAACTTCCATTCATTAATTTATGCTTTTTAACCTTGCATTCTTCTTACATTCCAAACTGCGGTATTTCATGTGGCATAATCATAAATACATGCAGCCATGAACATTGACATCTTTTGAGGCTTTCACAAAACTTTGTTTATTTATAAAATGTATATGTTATCTGACTTGAACAGTGCAGATCTGGTAGCTTATAATAGAAAACATTCCAAGATAAAAACAAAAGTCAATTTATTTTTAATAAGGAAAAAATAGTCTGGGTTGTTAGATTAAGTTTCGCCTATGGCACACACACTGCATTCCTTGCTTGTATGTTAAGGACAAAATACCAGTAAGCTTTGGCAGATTTGGCTAGCATGTTATAGGCCAGTGATGGTTAACTTTCGGCACTGAGTGCCAGAATTGGAGTGCGTGCACGCCAGAGCACCGGAACCAGGAAGAGAGCAGCTGGCTGGTGCACATGTGCACGGTGGCCAGCAGCACTTCTGGGTTCCAGTATGCGCATGCGCACTAGACAACTGGTCCAGCAGCCGTGCCCATAGAGAGGGCTGTGAGTGCCACCTCTAGCACATGTGCCATAGGTTCACCATCACGGTTATAGGCCATCTAAACTCAATTTTATCCAAAGGTTGCTCACATTTTATACAAACCAGCATCTCTAATCTAAATATTACCTTACAAGTCAGTGTACTGCTACCCTAGTTCCACCAAAAGAAGGTAGATGCTGTATATTGTATCTACTCAGAATAATGATTAAATTGTAAAAATATTACTGGTTTTAAATCTGGTTCGGAAAATTGAAACTCACTCTAGGTTACAAGCACCTTTAAAAAAATTCGTTTTGGTGTGAGAATTAAGCATTTGCTTAAATAATCCATATTTATAAGCGTGACTTATAAAAGTGTAACTATAACTCAATTGTTTCTAGAGCAGCCAATTATCTTGATGAAATATGTTTTTGCAGGATTTCAAGGTACTTTGTATTTAGGTATTGTTACATGCTTACTTTTGCAGGAAAAGGAAAAGCTACGGGAAGCTGAATTACAGGAGAAAAAAGAAAAATCAGAGAGGATGTTCAAAGAATGGCTGCAGAATTCTAAAAACAAGCCCCGCCCAGCCTCTGCTGGCTGTGCCTATGTCAATGGGAAACTTGCAAGTTTGTATCAGTAGTTAATCAACTACTGTAATACAATATTTCCTCAACTTGTATAGAAATGTTGATTTTCAAGTTTTCTTTAAAATGTTAATGAGCCAGGTCATAAATATTTTGGATATGAAGAGGAATTAAGTGCCAAGGCAGGCCTTCAGAGCATACTTAACAGCATACCTGTGACCTCATAGAGGTCTTCATATACCTACAAATATAACCAACTTCATTATTTATAGAAAATAGGTTAAAAAGTGTCACATTGTATTGCTGTTACCAGTGACAACAGACTTTGTTTTTTAAATCCTCCTGACCTAAGAAGAAAGAGAAAGACATAGAGGTTTATTTTTCTTTCCAGTGACGATAAATACAAGATAGTATTGCACAACCTAACAATTAAATGATTACTGGGTTGTCTGGGACCAACCAGGGTAGATTACTGGATTGTCTGGGACCAACCAGGCTAGGGGTGGAGGTACACTACAGAATCCCAGAGAAGGGAAAGATGCAGCTGAAAAAAATACGATTAGAGGCATGATGGTATTTTGTTTGCTAAACAATATAAAAACAAGTGCTACTGCCATGAAAGCAAATTCTGATTAATATTTGAAAGAACCTATGAAAATTATAGACAAGAACTGAAAGGAGTATCAATGGTTTTAGGTAGATAAGGCTAAAAAGTGCAACTGAATGCCAGATAAATCAGTCAAGAAAAGCTCTTTAAATCTTCAAGTTATGACTAACTCAGGTTGTCAAATACTTTATAATTAATCCATTGCTTTCTTCAGTTTGAAGGTAAAATTTAGCCTGCATACTAGTTCTTAACTATTGCTTTCTGAACTTTTCAGCATACCCAGATGGAAATGCCTACCCAGCTCCAGCCTTTTACAACCCCATACCTTGGAAACCAATTCCTGTGCCTCCTCCTAAGGAAGAGAAGTATGTTTCAGTGAAGAAAAATAAGAGGCCTCTATCCAGTCACACCCATAGATCTTCATCAGTGCTTTTTCAAAAATCCAAGAGTAATGTTTATCTTGGATCATTACACAGACTTCATAAATAGCATAGGCATTTTGTGTATAATATTAGTGAAGTTTAAAGTGTTGCATTAGGTGTGACATGTAAACATCTATGATTTCTTGGCTTTTGATACTTTTTCATTTTTTATTGTTAAAGCACCTAGTAGAAAAATAAATGATAATTTCATTTTATATAGGATATCTTGTGAGCCATATCTTTGTGTTAAATACTTAAAAGTATTATATTTACATATGCAACTTCTATTGCTTTTGTGCTTTTTTTGAGCTAGCTAATGTTACGAGATCACCACAGTACAGTGGAAAGATAAATCAAAGTTTTGGCTGCAAGCTAAAACTAAGGCTTTGGATTTTAATCCATTTGGGCCTATAAAGTCAATTAACTGTATTGGGTTTTATCTAACTATGCTTGTTAAACTAACTTGCAGAGTGTGGAGCTGAACATTCTAATACTCTATTTATTGATTTGTGAAATGCATCCCTTTAATATGAAATAAAAGATATGTACTATATTTGTAATATATTTTCTCTTCATCTTAGTTTTTCTGATAATGCTATTGGTTTGTAGTAGGTAATTGTATAAATAGTATTTATTTTAAATCTTAAGCTAGCAGAAGAAATAGAAGTTTTATAAAGTATATAGTGTATCTGCCAATAAATACAATTTGTAATTTCTAAATAAATTGTTTCTTTTTATGTTTTAAAAGCAATTGTTTAAGGAATAAAACAAATCGTTACAAGACTAATGATTTTTATTAATGGCTTATAAAATATACACATTAAAGCATAAAGTTGTTGATTATACACAAGCAGTTACTATATCTTCTACATATAAGTTTAACAAAATAATGCACAACTAAAGTGTATTCTATATGGTTTGGTCATAATTTAAAAACCAAGGGCTGCTTATCCAGATAGGCTTTTCAACCATTCTATAGAAAAGAGATCACTGCAACATTGTCTGAAAAATAAAATGAAAACTGTTTGATAGAACATTTTAAAACATTTTAAAAAAACAAACTTGGAAATAGATACAAACATTAAGCAGCAAGAAATACAATTTGGTGATGCTGACATTATTAGGAAACTGATTAGAATTAAATCCATTTGCCATTAGCTGGGAATCCTGTTTTGAACATTCTGAATACTATATTATGTTCAAGAATCCTTAGAGAGCCAGGCCATTTTTATAATGTTTGAAAAATAATTTCAGCAATCTTTTTTTTCTTCCTTAATGAATGAAAGAGCTTTATTTTTTAATATTTTGAGTAACCAGGCAAAGAGACATAATTTTTGAAGCTACTAGATTATAATCCTTTTCCTGCACATTTTCTGTCCTTATAGAAGAGATTGCATCAGTCATTTAAAAAAGACTTGCACAAAATGAATCATAGATGAATTCAGTTTGAATCTCATTAGCATATCCAGGGTTTTTTTTTAATAGCGTGAGACATCAAGTTCAACAGAGTTTAATTTATTCACAAAAGATGGTGCTCTAGTTCCAAATGCTATGGGTAATTTTAAACTGCCTTGCAGAACATGATGCACAGCTGTCTACAAATTGGCCTTCTGTAAATAAAGCTGACAGCAGTAATTCTAGTGACGTTGGGCAGTTGGGTCAAACTTGTTTTCCTACAATGCCTGTAATATCAAAGAACTTCAGGCTATTGTGGAGCTTGCTCAGCAATCAGATGCTGCTCTCAGTGCCATAGGACTCAATATAGACAATGGCAAATGTTCCTCAAGCAATTGCTCAAGAGTACCTCATTGGCATCAGTCCTAAATATATGCATTACCTCTATGTTTGTTATTGTTTTTCCTTGATCTTTACTGGATGATTTTAGACATGTCAATTTATAACCTTTTAAAAAATAAATAGCTGTACATGTAATGACTATTTTCAGGGCCTGGCTTAGAAAAAAAAAACTAAGCTGAAGTTGCCTGTATACTTTTATCCTCTGTTATATTCTTTGCATTGGAATGCTGTAGATCAGGGGTGTCAAACTCATGATGACACTTCATGTGACATATCACAACTTCCCCCCCTTTGCTAAACCAAGGGTGGGTGTGGCCAGCACATGATGCATCCGGCCTGCAAGCCACAAGTTTGACACCCCTGGTGTAGCCCATTCTTCATCTTAAATCCCATGAATTCTGAGACAGATTATGCCAACAGTATAGCATACCATACTCGGTTCAATAGTGCTGTGACATTCTACTATAGAAGCATGCTATGGAAAAAAGTGGATATAAAGAGCTTGTACATCAGGCTTCCAAACACTGGGCAGAAATGGAAGCAGTTCCAGCAAATCTGCTGACCCAATGAATGATACAAGGCTTGCTTAGTAATTATTTTAAAACAATGTTAAGTAATACTTTTATTATATATGTTAAATGCAGGTTGCTATACTTATTCTCTTATCTTACTCATTGAATCTGGTCTTTGTAATTGCAGAGTTTCAATCTCAACCCAAGCCCGTCTGTTTGGGAATGAAGAAGACAAGAACCATGAACCTAAGGCTGTTAGTCATTAATTCCTCTGCTTTCCTTTCCTAGCATGCATGAAATGCATGAAATAAACAGAAGGCATAGTACAGCATTACTGTGAGAGGTAGTATATTGATGGAAAGTAGATGGACTATAGACAATATTGTTTAAATGTTTTCAAATTTCAGAAAGAAATGCTTTGTTCATCCAAGTTATCCCATCCCCATGTCTGAAGCAATGAAACAATCTCCCCTTTGTTTAATATTATTGAGTCTTAAGAGGAAACAAAATAACAATGACCTCTGTGATCTAACCAATCAGTATATGTGCAAAATATGCATGTATCTGCAATGGGTGCTAAAGGGATGCATTTTTCAGTTTGCATAACATGGTTATCAATTTTCTCTAAAATTCAAATCACTGAAGGGCTTAGGAGAATGTTGTGAAATGGCATAATTGATAAGAATGAAACTCTTAAAAACACCACTGTATAGGATTAAGAGTTATCAGTTTGTTATTGATTTTTTTAATTAAAAGATTTTTAATTATGTTGCCAGAGGTTTTAGTTAAGAAAATGCATCATAAAATTGTAGCCTAAATTTAATTCTATTAATGTCTTTTCACACTTTTAGTGATAATTTATTTTAGACTAAAACATATTTAAAACGAGGTATCAAGAAGAACATAATCTTAGATAAGAGATCAGTGATTAAAACAGCAGCTGAGTCAGTCAGTTATATTAAACATTATTAAGTGCTAAAGAAAAATATATTTGGCTTCTAAATATCAATGGAATTTGATGAGATAGTGTCAACAAGAATAAATGCTTCAAGTGAAGTATTTTTCCCCCCCAAATTTTTTATTTCAATCTGCATATGCACACCAATACATTAACAGTGTGGCATCAATATATCATACATTTTAGTATAGGCAAAATTAATAATATCAATCATATCTCTCAATGCATAATTTCACATTAATTTATAATCCTTCAATGCTTATTTTCAACCTTTCTCTCTCCATATGCCTACCACCATATCAGTTAAACATACCTAGTAATTCCATTATTCAATTTTCTCCCTGCTTTTATTTTTTAAAATAAAAAATTCTCATTTGGCAAGCAGGGTGGTTCTAGGTTTTACATCTCAATACAAACATAACCATAGTTACCTGTTATATTTGTTTAGTTTCATATTGCATCATCCTTATTGTTAAATATTAAGCTTATCCAATTCCAATTCATGTTATATTAATACATATTCATATCTTATTTTACAATGTTATCTAAAATTCTCATCTTATTTCTGTTGTCATTTCTCATATTTTTTCTGTCACATTTGTCATTTTATCAAACCTTATCTGTAAATACAATTGTCCCCTCTGCTTAATAATTCAAGCTAACCACCTTCATTCTACCTTAATATCAATCTCCCTATCTAGTATATAACACAAATATATATATATATATATATATATATATTTCAGTTTCCACATTATATTTTCTCAAACACCTTACGAATCATCTATACATTACAAAACACTTTTCAATATATTCTTATACAACATATTACCTTGCGGAATCTCCTTCCTTATCCTTTTTTTTCACCCATTATCTCTCACTCTTTGGACAATGTACTTTCTTTTCATTCTTGTTTGTTTCCTATTCCTCTTTGTTTTCTGGTCCTTTCTCTTAATTCCCTTTTTTCCCATTCTTATTCCCTTCCATTTCTCATTCCAGTTATTAAACTTTTCTCTCTCCCTCTTTTGATTTTTCTTTTGCCCTTTCTTTTTCTGCTTTTTCCCTCTCTCTTTATCCTTTTTCCAAACCATTCTCCCTTTTATCATCCCATCAGACCACACATTTTTAATTCTAATTCCTTCCCCCACCCCCGCTTAAATAATTGTTGTTCGTTTTGTCCTTCAATGTTGGCTTCTTCTTTATAGAACTCCTCCCCCTCTGGTTTATTTTGTTCTTGTATATGCTGAGTCACCATTTCTAATTTCTGTAGTACATAATTGCATCTTTCAAGTTAAATTTTTATCATGTTCCTTATATCTTGCAAATCCAACCTTGACTCTTGTAAGTCCAATCTTATATCAACAAATAGTTTCTCCATTATATCTTCTACTTTTTTCCTTTCCTTTTATCTTCCTTAATAGTTAAAATCCTCTTCTTTAATAGATATATTCAATCCCAGAGTCCAGTATATTATTTCAGCCAATATCTTTTGAATTTATTTTCAACAATCCATACTTTTGAGGCTTTATTCAAATGGTTCTATAACAATAATAGTTTCTTTTATTTTCTTTTAAGTTCCAAAATCCAAACTCTTGAGAAGACCAGACACTTTTAAAAACGTACTGAAGTTTTCCTGTACTATCAGGTGGCGCTCTTGAGTCTTTTTACCTTTAACTTTCTTTATTGAATGTAATACTTTTATTACATCCAATGAGTTTCCATTTCTCTGCAATTCATGCAGACCCATACTGGATCTGTTGGAAAGAGTCGATACCATTGAAACACGATTAACATCCCTTGACACCAAAGTAGCATCCCTGGACGCCTTAATAGAAAGATTATCCAACCTCAAAAAAAAAAGACACAATGCAAAAACCTGAACACCCAATAGCTACAAACCACATCTCTACTCAACAACCACAACCCAATCCACAAAAAAACATAACCCAGACAAATATTGATATCCCAATCCTCATCAGAGAGGCTGTTGAGCGTGAACGGAAACATCCAAACGCCATCTTATTTGGTCTAGAGGGCATCAATGATAATGATGACATCACAACTGTCCGAAACATCATCAGTGATTATCAAGCATCAACCATCTCCCCTGATGAAATACTTGACATTTCCCGCATTGGCCGAGAGCTCAAAAACAGTGACGGCTCTGTGACCCCACGCTTCTGCAGGGTCATTTGCAAAAATGAATCAAGCAAACGCAAATTCATTTACACTATAAATTCACTCGCCAAAACCAACACCAACCATAAGAACCTCCGTTGTCGCCCTGACCTAACCATACAGCAACGTGCCCGCTCCCGTGTACTCCGCACTGAACTCAAAAAACATCTCGACAATGGGGAGAAGGACCTGTACATTGACTACCATGCTGACTGTATCAAAAGTAAGTCACACA